TTTAAGTCAAATCACATTTGAATTCGAAAATTTTTAGATAAAAAGTTTAAAATGAAATTTTAAACATACATATTTAAAACGAAGGGGTTGTTTGGGATGAACTAAATAAGTGCACTTTTTATCTTTTTATGAAAAGATGTGCAGAAAAGTAGAAAGGTGATGTGATAGAAAAAAGATAAAAATATAAAAAGATGAATTATTTGAGATATGCCAAACTTGACCTTAGTCTCAAATAAAATTTTAATAATGCTATGGGGACTGTTGTGATGCATAACACTAACCACATATATGCCCTATGAAACCCATCAACTATATAATTAGTGTCATATGAAACATCACATCAGTTATGTTTGACAGGGTTTTTTTTGATTATTTTAGTGAAAAAAAAAACAAATTAGAATAAAAAGTAAATAAGATAAAATGTCACATCTAAAGTATAATCATTTTATTTTTTCTTTCATAAAAGTTAAAAAAATAAAAAAAATCTATCACAAACGAGATTTTTAACCCCAAACTAAAATAATCAAAAAATTAAAACGCCAATCTACATCCCAAACGAAGGTATCATATAATACCAAAATATGATATTAAAATATAGTCATCTTAAAAGTTACTTAAAATTCAATTTATAAAATTATGCATAACTTATTATAAAGAAATATATTCTATTCTTTATTTCTAATAGCGGGTCTAATGATATGTCCAATTCAAATATTTATTTATTTATTTTGTGGGTTAATTTTTTGTTTTAAAATTATAGCATGTTTAAACAAAAATATTATGATTAAATCTTAGTGTAATTTGGATTTTAATATCCAATAAAGTCAAATCACATAGCTATTCTTGATTTTTAATATCTTTTTCCTTAGGCTCCGTTTGGCAAGAGCTAAAAGGGTTTTTTTGGCTATTTTAGTCACAAAAGACAAAATAGACTATTTTAGTCACAAAAAATAAAATATCACATCAAACCCATAATCATTACATTCTTCTCTCACAAAAAAATCAAAAAAGTCATTCCCAAACCAAACTTTTTAGCCCGGGCTAAAATAGCTAAAAAAGTCAAAAAGTCAAAAAGTCAACCCACTTCCCAAACAAAGGCTTATATATTTTAGTTTCCTCTCAATTATTTTATTTTATTTTATTTTAAGGAAATGTATATCAAATGAGAAAATATAGAAAGAGAGAAATAGTGAAAATAATAGTCGGTCTAGGAATTGAATTTTTAAATATTTTTTAGCTTTTCATAATAAAAAAATGTGCCAAAAAATATATAAAATGTTGACTTTTTGTAATGACTCTTTGACTTTTTAGTTAAATATATTATTTCCAAATAAAGTCTAAATACACTAATTTTAATAGTAAGAATAAGGTTTATAATCAAATATAATGTTTTTACAAAGGGGTATTGACTTAGGATAAAGAATGTGAAAATAACTAAGCTGAAGTTTTATTGGGAAGGAGAAGTTGACGAATGGATGGATGGGAATAATTAGAAAAATGGTTAAGTATGATCAATCTGTGACACCATTAATGAAAGAAAAAATAATAATAATAAAAATAAAAAATACAAACTTGATAAACTTAGTAGAATTACTTGATTCAAAATCATTATAATATATATTTAATATTTTTACTATTTAATTTTAAATTATTTTTTCGATATTTATTAAAGATAGTATATAACACGAATATCATACTAGTTCTTATATATATACATTTATTTATTTATTTATCTATCACCTCCGCGACTCCATCCATGATTGTATGGATGGACCGAGGAATCTTTGAAGTGATATTGGGTTGTGTTCGTCAATTTTATTACTTGGAAGAGTCAACAAAACGACATCACTTCATTGGACTATGTGATAAATCCCATCATTCATCACGGCTGGTCCTCCAATCCCTCCATGATGGGCTAATAGAATTTTAAAATCTTATGAATGCGCATAGGACATTCTATGGTAACACTTTCTTTCTTCTTCTTTTTAATGTTTATTCATTTGACTTTTTTAAAAAAAAAAAAAAAAAAAAAAAACAAATGGGGTTATAGAATAGAATTAATAAAACGAGATTCGGGATATAAATCAAATTTAAAATTTTTTTAAGTTATATTTTATTCTTTTAGGGATAAAAAAGTAAAACAATTTGAAAGATTATATTGCTACTACTTATGGAAAATCCTATTTCCACACATCCTTTCATCTCTGTACACACACTTGATGAAATAAAATTTTAATAAGAATTTTACCACGAAACAAAATGACCGTAATAGACATCATAACACATACTAAGGCCTAGTTTGGGAAGACTAAATAAGTGCACTTTTTGATTTTTTATGAAATATGGGTTGGGTTTGGGTTGGGTTTGAAGTGATGTGTTAGAGAGGTGATGTGACTTAAATAAGATGATGTGACTTAAATAGGATAGTGACTTTTTGACTTTTTGTCTTTTTTGTCTCATGCCAAACTTGGCCTAAATATGAAATCTTAGTTTTCACTATACACATAAATTTGTGGTGTCATTGTTGTTATTTCATGTGCAGCAAAGCTCAAGAACAAAGAATTTGTGTATATGCATGTTCTTCTTTGAGGAGCTCAGGAATCATACCATTTTATTGATGAGAAGATCCATACCATTTTCGGCTATTTTTGTAAAGAATTATTTGATGAGCCCAGGAGCCCATTAATCTCTCCTCACTCTGTTGTTATATATGCATATAATTTGTATATATTCATGTTTATGTGTTTGTGTGTGTGTGTGTGTATATATATATATATATTGTGGGTGCTGGTTGCTGACTACACTGTCAAATAGGTACTCAGTTGGAGAATATTGACAGAATAGATTATATCCGAATAACCTGCCACAGAAAAGTAAGATTTCGGCAGTGGTTCGTCCACCCGGGAGCATTTCGACGATCAAGTCAGTACTCAATTATCTCCCAAAGATAACAAAATGTGAAAAACAGTGTACCTCAGACCCACGATGGTGCTTTACTTTTATAGCCAGCACTAACCTGATTTCTGTAGAAGCCTAGCTTCTCTTGGACTCTGGCTCAATGCTCATCTTGGACTCTCCAATAGATAAAGATAAACCCCCTAAGAGTTTTATCTTTATCCAGGCTGATGTCCTCCCCCATTCTAGGACTCTTATTGCTTATTCGTTCATCTCGGATTCCGATATCTCCGCAGATAACCTCGGCCTAGCCGAGATCACCTCGACGCCATGACCAGGACACGTGGCATTTCGGTGCCACCTTGGCCACGTGTTGTCATTCACAAAAATATGCCCCCACATATATGTATGTAATTGGTCTCTATATTTGAATCAACTTGTTGTTTGATATGGTTTCACTGATTCAGATTCACACTCATAGTTCCCTCGCCATTGCTATTGAAGCAGCAAAGATTGCTGAAGATGTAAATCAAATTCAAGACCCAATTTTTTAATACTTTACTTCTTCATTTTTCTTCATCGATTACTTACCTTCAACAATGCAGTGGAGTCAATGTAGTTCTTCAATGGAATTGGGTCTTTACCATGGGTTTTCAATGGAGTTAGGTTATGTGGCTATCCGTTAGTAGTTGTGTGAGTGTGTTTACCGTGGATGGGTGTTTTAAGGTAGGTAAAACCTATTTAGGTGGTTTGTGTATAAGATTTAAGTTAGGGTTATAATTGGAAATATGGTGTGTGAAATGAGAATAATAATATATAATCCAATTCACAGAAGTGTGCATTGAGATATAATCTGCATAGAGATGAAATGGTGTGTGGAAATAGAATTTTTCTCTACTTATCTTTCAATCTGTCCACTGTTCATATATTTGTTCATGTGTCATTAATCTATTTACCCATTTGTCCACGTGTTATCATTAATTTGTCCACGTATGACATGTCTGTTCACTTAATTTGTCTATCTATTCATATCACCATGACTATCTGTTGCCAGCACTCACTGCACTGGTGACTTTCCCAATGGAGTAAAAATAGAAAAAAATTTATTCAAAATAATAATTTATTCTTCTTATTAAATAATTTCACATTGTTTGGTTTACATTGTTTTTTTAAAAATTGTGTTTTTTTCTTTTTTATTTTTAGTGAATTTTTTTTCAATATTTGACACAAAATTTTTTTATTTTTTATATACGCTTGACCTAAATACACTTATGAAGTAATTGTGAATTTTTTTTTACCAAATACAAAAATTAAAAAATACAATACAAAAATTTAGTACATTTTTATATTTTGTTGGATTCAATGAATTTTTTTAAAGATTTTTGTATAAATTTTATACTTTTTAAGTACATCAAGATTAAATAGATTTAAAAAGTAAAAAAAAAATTAATTAAAATATTTTTAAAAATTATTAAAAATATAAAAATATGAATTCAAATTTCAAAAATTTAATTTTGAAAATTTCAAACCACATAGAGTAGATAGTATTACCCTTAAATTTAAATTTAGTAATATCATATTTCCTATGAAAATAGAGTCATCATCGACAAATCTTAAGAAGGTATTTGAGATAATTTGAATAAGTATATTTTTTTGATTTTTTTAAAAGGTATTAAAAAATAAAAAGATAAAAAATATATATTTTTATAAAAAATGTCAAATAATATCCAAGTTAAAAGGTGGATAACCGAGCCGATTAGAACCCTGCCGATTTTATTGGTGTAGTTGGCCAACTAAAGTTTCGTTTGGTTTTAAATTTTTAGTTAAAAAAAATACAAAAAAAATAAAATAAAATTAGTGATATAAGTTAATAAAATAAAATGTCACATTTAAATTATAATCGTTATATTTTTTCTCTTACAAAATTAAAAAAATAAAACAAAATGAGACTAAAAAAATCTTAACACAAAAAAGTCAATTAAAAAAATCAATGCCAAATGAAGACTAACATGAGTTGGTTTCCAAACAAACGACGCCGTTTGCGAAGAGTAACCAGTAGTGTATTTCGAGAAACGCCAATCACGCCAACCTCCAATAACTGTCTCTCTCTCTCGTGACGGAGGAGGAGAGAGATACAGATCTCTCCTGGTGGAGGTCCATCCATTGATCACTGTTAATTTCTCATTATTGTCACCAACACACACACACACACACGCACGCACACGGACACACAGAGAATTGAAAGTCATGCAAAATTTCGCAGAGACCATTTGTTGAAGCCATACGTTATACGTGTAAAACACCTGAATGTTTTGACTGTCTGTCTACGATTTACACAGAGAGAGAGAGAGAGAGAGAGAGAGTGAGAGGAGGTTGTTCCAAGTGTGATTGTCTGGCTTAGAAGCATATATGTTGTATTAACAAGGCCAGTTGTAGCATTGTTGTGACTCCAAACTCCATCTTGGAGTCAATACCAATTGTAAATTCTAGTAGGTTAGGGTTTTGAAGATCCCTGAATTCACAATTGGGGGGAATAAAAGATGCAGAGGATTGTTAATTACTAATTTTGGTCTTAGGGATTAGAAATCTAGAGTGAAAGAGAAGGAAATTTCACTGGAGAAGCTTCACATTTGTATTTCTGTAACATGGGTTTTTTTTCATGTGTTCACAACTAAATTTTTTGCTCAAACCCATATTGAAAAGTTCCAAAGATTGACAGAAATTGACAAATTTGGGAGTCGGGTGCTTTTGAATTGAGAGTTTAGTGTTTGGGAGACAAATATTATCTAGAATGGAACCACATAGAACAGAAATGCGATCTTTGGCGTTAACGCCAACATGGTCTGTTGCTACTGTAATGACAATCTTTGTTGTTGTGTCTTTGCTTGTGGAGCGATCAATTCACCGCCTAAGCAATGTACGTCTAGATTCACTATTGATTTTTTGCCATTTATTATGATTTCTGTTGGAAATTGGACTATTATGTTTCAATTGATACAATTTTTGATATCGAGCTAAGCTTTTCTGCATATTTTCATTGCAAAGTTAGTTTCTATAAAATATCAATATGAATTACTTTGGGCTTGTTCTGATGAGCTTATATTTTTTCTTTCATTCTAGTGGTTGCGGGAAACAAATCGAAAACCTTTGTTCGAAGCTGTAGAGAAAATGAAAGAAGGTATTTGGCATAAATTTCTATGTCAATCCTTACAAAATTTATCAACTTTTCTTATGTGTATTTTTTAGAATTCTCATCTTGAAGCTGCTATTTTTTTGATTTCTGTTTTCAGAATTGATGCTTCTAGGCTTCATATCTCTCCTTCTCACTGCTACTTCAGGCTTTATATCAAATATTTGCATCCCAACATCGTACTATGAGAGTGTGCTTTCTCCTTGCACCAAGTCTGAGGTTCAGGACGACACTGAAAATAATGTTTCACAGGGTCGTAAACTTTTGATGGCTTTTGCTCTTCCTCACTCATTTAGGAGAATGTTGAATGAGTTAAATAAAAAATCTTGCAAAGAGGCATGTTTCTTATCCAAAATCATTGCATAATATATTGTGTTTTTTTTCCCATCTAATGTTTCCATTCAAAAGAGAGAATTTTCCAACACATTCTATGGAATTTTTGTTTGTTTTCCATGGTTTTTCTTCTTCTTTTAAAAATAAAAATAAAATTTTGGGAAAAATTTCCTAATAATTCCATTTCGGTTCTCAATTTTTTATTTTCTTTCTAAGCAGTTACTTCCAACCCACCCCCCCTTAATCTGAACTTTTTTCTGCTTGCATCTGGAGTTTGGACTGATCCTGGGTTATTTAAATTTTATTTTATTGGACAGGGTCATGAGCCATTTGTTTCATCTCAAGGTCTCGAGCAATTGCACCGCTTCATCTTCGTCATGGCAATCACACATGTATCTTACAGCTGCTTAACAATGCTGCTGGCAATTGTGAAGGTTACATTCTATTTTGCAGTTTAGTTGCAGTTACTTAATTCAGTTGTTTGCATGTCTTGTTTGTTTTTCTTGTCTAGTTGGTAGAAAGATCTCCAAAGTCTCAAGAAAAAATTATGTACTGTTTTGGTGTCTCCAAAGTCTCAATAAAAATTATGTTTTTCTTTATTACATGTCTATGTCAATCTACTAGTTCCAAGGGAGCTGTTGCCTTGGATGAATGGTGTGAGTGAAATTTATACAATATACTCCCTCCATCTTGAAATAAGTGTCTTGCTTTATTTTTATTGGTCCCAAATTGAATATATGTCCCAATGGAAAATTCAAAGCAATATTCTTTTGCTTCTCAGTGTTACCAGTTACAGCAAACACGTTACATTACATATGTTATAAAAGCAAGCGATTTTGGAAGAGTTTATGCCAAAGAGATGCAGTGACGGTGCTTGGATTTATTGTTGCTTTCATAAGCTTTATGCTTTTTCAAACATGACACTCATTTGGGATGGATAAAGCAGAATGATCTGGATTGTACCTTCTAGAAAATTGATGATATAGTGATTACTGTAGGTCATTTGTAACATTTATTTTTGTGGGTCATGCTACCAATTATACAACACAGACCATGTAAGCTGTGTTAATTGGTCCCATGTATTGTTGATATGGTTCCACTGCTTGCAAATTTGCAGAAAACTGTGTTGAGTAGGTTTTTTCTTCTTGTTGCTCTGCTGGTTTGAGGTTGTGCTCTAGTGTTAGTGACATTAAGAGTACATGCTTCACTCTTGATTTTGCAATTTTTTTTATTATTTATTGTAGTGATTAATCTGCAACACATACATCCTTTGAACCCTACACATACATCCTTTGACGTTAAGATGAATAATGTGTTGTTCAGTTTTGTTTATATTAAGATGAATTTGTCATGTTTTCATTACAGCATCGTAGTCAAATTTATGGAAGACAAGGACTTCACAATTATACTTCAATTGAAATGAAACTAAAACACTTGTGTGTTATTTTCTGCTTAATGGCTGTCTTTGTAATAATGTGATCAGATCCATAGTTGGAGGACATGGGAAGTTGAGGCTTATTTGGGCCAGCATGAATTATTAACTGGTAAGATCTAATGCTTGATATAATTTACATGATTCTCAGCATTTTCTAGACCCCTATATTTATTCTACCCTTGTTCTGGTGGACTGGTACATTTCTCCTTTTTATATGCTATATTTTTAGCTAGAGATGAATTTGTACATTAAAAAGAAAAGAATAGGGAGAGGGAGTGGGAATCTATCAAGTAGAGAAAAGGGAATGCCTAATGCTGTGTTTGGTTGGGGGATTTAGGAAGGGATTTGGAAAGGGAAATGGAAAAGGTAGGTGAAATGTGAATAAATCATTCCCTTTCCCTTTCCAAATCCTATCCCAAATCTCCCAACCAAACACAGCATAAAGGAAAACATATAAGGTAGCAAAGTGAAAAGAAAGGTAATAGTTGATGTTAGATTACAACAGCCAAAGAGGAAACTCCAAGTTTTTGTTACAACTCCAAATTTTTGTTGCCCCAATTAGCAAAAGAGTTGCCTAGAATTAGATTAGCTATAATTTATAAATACATTTCAAGGATGCAATTCTCAACAACATGATATCACGTTTTGATGATGATGTTTTAAAATTGCCACGGGAAGGTCAGCTGGGAGTTGGGAATCTACATGCAGTTGACATACCCCAAAATTTCAGGGAAGATTTTTGGACCTGTGTTCTGTCTCTGTAAGTGTAGAAAAGGTAAAGATGATGCTGTTATTAGTGGCCTTTGCAAATGCCTCTATTGCACATTTTGCCTGAATTCGTCAACCATCAGCATTCACTTTCACAAGTCCCAGAGGAAATAAAAGAAAAGATAAGCATCACAATGAGTAAGTGCTTAGTTAGATAGAGAAGAAGAAACTACTGTTGTCCTGTGTCTAGGGATTCTGGAACATGGAATGCTTTCAAGTTCAAGAGAAACAGAAGCCTAAAGGAAGCTGAAGGCATAGTTCTCCCTCCCTCCCACAACAGGTGGAAATCTGTTCTTCCAAAGGCGCAAGACATTAGGGAAATGGGCAAAATTCACTTTACCCCTTGTGATTTGTCATTTGAGAGTAACCGATTTACCTTCATGGGGTTTTGCATTAAATTGCATTATTAATTCTGTTAAACAGAAATTACAACAAATACATATTTCTAATAAGAAAATTTTACGAATATATTATATAATAGATGACTTCTGCTTCTTACAATGAATTCATGACCTTGGTTGCTTTTTGTGATATAATTTATGGAGATCATCAACATGATGAGAATATTCATAGAAGTTGTCGATAATAACAAAAAAAAAAAAAAAAAAAAGTAGAAGAAGAAGAAGAAGTTTACTGCAAGTCAAGAAAACGTTAAAGCTGTGATGAGATGTGGTCAATGTTGGGACACTTGGTTTGTGGTGCTTTTGCGGCAAGTACAATGAAATTGGAGATGCTAATTATCTGGGTGTCAATCCAACTTGGTGCTGGTGAGGAGGGGTGGGAGTAGCAAGGGAGGTGAGGCTAGGGATTAGGGCTTTTGTGGGTCAAGGAAGAAGATGAAGATGAAGGCAATATTGTCATGTTGCACTAAAATTTTGAATTTTTTTGTCAACTCTCGAAGTACGTGTTTGTGCACAATTTCCATCAATTTATATTGAATTATTAACAGAGGGAGGTAAAGTGCAAAAGTGACTAAATCTGCGCGAGGCTATTTTAGCTATTTTTAAATGTGAGGGAGGTGAAGTGTTACGAGACCAAACCACATGGAGTTAAAATGAATTTTTCCCTAAGGAAATTAAGTGAACCAGCTATTGGTTGGGGCTTTATGTCATCCAACAAAAGCAGGAAGACGTTATTGATTTGTTTGGGCCGTATGTGAATTTAATTAGAATGGACTAATTCTCACCATCCCAACATGTTATACTGAGTTCAAAATTTATAGATTATTTTTTTCTTTCTTTTCATGTTGTTTAGGATGGCCGTTATATTCTCTTTCTCTAAAAGAAATTTTAGTGGTCTATTATGCTTGTGTAAACTTAAGAAACAGCATTGACCCAATTCATGCCCCTAAATTTGTATGATCCTCTGCTTTTATATAGTTAAACTAATTATTTGGCAGAGATAAAGGAATGTTAACTAATAAACTTGTGTGCTCTATTCTCTTACAGAAGAAAACACAAGAGACAAGACAATGCATAGACAATCAACCTTTGTCAAATTTCATACGTCAAATCCTTTGGTCTGGAATAAGTTTCTTGTTTGGGTGGTAGGTACACAACTGTCTCTGTGCTGCATTTGTATTGGTAACTTTGTTCCTTCCTATGTTTTGATATAACTAAGACAGTTGCCCCTAGATGTAAATTATGGTAAACTATTATCTGTTTTATTTGATTCTTTGAGGAACTGCAAAGAGGAAGTATCTGTAATTGTTTATTCTTGTTGGGGTCACTCTAAGTAATTTTTTGTTTATGCAGATCTGCATTCTTTTTCTAGTTTAATTCTTGTTCTATTATGTATTTCAACTTGGTACTTGTTGCTTTAAGCAAAAATTATGTTAAAATCCACCTACGATTCTTTGAGGAACTGCAAAGAGGAAGTATCTGTAATTGTTTATTCTTGTTGGGGTCACTCTAAGTAATTTTTTGTTTATGCAGATCTGCATTCTTTTTCTAGTTTAATTCTTGTTCTATTATGTATTTCAACTTGGTACTTGTTGCTTTAAGCAAAAATTAGAAAACTGTTATATAGTCTTTTCATTCAACTGAGAACAGAGCATGAAGAAAATTTTTGCAGCTCTAATGAATTGTTTAAGCTTGGTGTATTATGATTGATTCATGCCGACTAACTGATCACAAATAATCTTGGTTCAGAATTTGATGCATTGATTCTGGGTTTTTAGTTTCTCATTCGGTTCATTTTGCCCCAGAAAATTGCAAACTTTTTCTGTTGGAAATTGAATTCCTCTTTAGGATCACATTCATAACATTGGTGTGGCAATAAGAGATATATGCATAAATCTATATACTATAAGTTCTTGCAATAAGTAGTGCACTCTGATTGGCCAAGTTTCTTTAGGAAGCCTGTTTTAGAGATTCCACATGTGAGAAGTTAATATATGTCCAAATGTTATTTTTGTATACAAATTGCTGGATTTTAGAGGCAATATGGGTGTTTCAATTTTTTTATACTATATCATGATCACTAATCACTTATTCTAGTCATTACTCTATTGATTGCAATAATTATGTTTTACTTAAATTAACAAGTCTGAATAGGTTGTTCACTCAACATCCTTGAAAGCACACAACAATTTATGTGATGGTTGTTTGCTTTCTAGAAAGTTCATATTACTCTAGAAAGTTAAAATATAGTATAAGGAAGTTCGTACATGCAGCAATATGAGGACTCACTGATCAATTTAGACTCCTAAGATGCACTGCCTGCTTTGACCATTTAGTATTTTTTTGCTTCTTCATGAATGTTTAACGTGATTACTTTGGAGTGGTTGTAGCTATTATACGTATAGGCATTAGTATACATCCAGCTAGGATCTTTATGCTATGCCTATGACTGGGAGATGTCATCACATACACTTCTTTCTTCCAGTATTTTGGCAGGAAAGCATTCCTAAAGTCATATAATGTCTCCATTTTTTGGTTTCAGTTTAGCAATCTTTATTCTTTTAGTAATGCAACAAGTTAAATACATTTCCTTAGTGACTGGTTTAAATTGACACCTGATTTCATTAAAGCATAGAGGTTTGAGGGAGTGTAACAATTTTCAAGAACCCAATGAATTGAAGATGGAAAAAGGAAAAAAAAGACAGGAGTGTTTTAACTAAAGTGCGCTTCCATTGATACACAGTAATAGAACTAAAAAATGAGGTGTTTGTGAGGAGGTTGTAGAACTATTCTGTCTTGGTAATCTCTCATTTATCTGTTAACTGCATTGATCCAACCACCTAGTGGTGTATCTTAATATTTTTCTGATACATAAACTAGGAAGAATCATATTTCTGTGACAGCATTATTTTTATCATTACATGGCTTCATTAAACCTGCTCTTTTAATTCCGAATTTTGATAGTTATGTTAAATTGCAGACCTGTTTTTTCCGGCAATTTGGGAATTCAGTGGTTCGTGCTGACTACCTTACACTCCGCAAGGCTTTCATTGTGGTACAAAATCTCATTCCACTACAAGAAATATGCCACCTTATGTTGCACTCTCTCTCTCTCTCTCTCTCAAGTACATTATCTTAAACATTTATATACATGATTTCCACAAAGATACATTGTGTCTATATAGGAGTATAGGAATTATCATCCCTCAGTTAAATTTTAGAGCTTACTCAAAAAGGAATAGGCATCCTTTCTTAATGATTTTTACAATTGTCCACCAATGTTTTGATTTAGAAAATTTGAATATTTAGACTTCTGAGTTCACTGCTATTAATTTGTTGGAAATGTTAATTGCTTTCATACAAATTAGATTCACTACATTTTAAAACCTGGTTTCCATTTATGCTCCCATTTCTGTTTGTACTACTCTGAGATGTTACTTCACAAGTACTTGTTAATACTAATTCATAGTAAGCGTAGTATTGTTACCAATAATTTATTATTTACAGTCCTTGTTTTCCTTATTCATGGCAGAACCACAACCTTACATCAAAATATGACTTTCACAGTTATATGATCCGCTCTATGGAAGAAGAATTTCAAAAGATAGTTGGTGTGAGGTAAGCTCATTATAAGAATTTCAGAGGATACACTCGTTCTAAGAATTGAAGATCCTTTACAACTCTTTGAAGGATATCACACACACACACACACACACACACAAAAAAAAAAAAAAAAAAAACTGGAAAGGGAAAAGCTTTGTGACCTCTCTCTCCTATAAATGAATAAATTGGTTAGATTTCAGTGTTCAACGTACCTCCCACATGCAATTTAATTTTTGAAGTTGACACATGTTGAATGTACTAAACCTCATTTCAAGTCCATTGATTTTTCCCTTCCCTTTTCCTTATTTTCCTATATATTGGCATTTTCCTTATAATTAGATCGCATTAGTTTCATCAAAATATAAATGGGTGACAGGTGCGATTTGAGTGCCTGCAATTTCGATGTCTACTGTCATGATCTAATTTAGATCTTCTAGAGAGCATCTTTTTATTGTCTTGTGTGTAATTGAAGCTAGCAACTAAATGCCAGTTCTGAATCTTTTGCAGTGCCCCACTGTGGGGATTTGTCGTGGCTTTTATGCTCTTTGATGTGAAAGGTATGTCATGTTATAGACTAATTGAGGTTCTAAGATCATTGGTTTAATGCATATTTGGCTAATCATGGACATCCATGAATGCCTATGTTACATGGACTTTGGGTTCAAATGTTGGATTCACCTAATTCACAGGTCCAAGGACATTGAAACATAGTGAAGTATTCATATTTCATAATATTATTTTATTTTCAAAGGCAAATGATAGTTTTTAAGTAAAACAGAGCATGTTTTATTTTTAAAGCAAACCTATCCGAAAAGTAATTACCACACATGCTTGTTGGCAGCATGCCCAATTAAACATGTTTGACGCATATTGCATATCCCACAAGGGTTTGTCACACATTTCTGTCCATGTAACAAAGATGAATGTAATTGTGGTACTCTACTCCCCTCCCCCGCCTCCCTGAGTGGATCCATGAGACAACTTGTATGGTGATCTTACTTTTGCCACACTACGATCATATTGTACATGTTTTGTCAAACTCATTGAACTTATGATTTATTGTTTTTTTGTACTTGCAGGTTCTAATCTCTATTTCTGGATAGCTATCATTCCCGTTATTGTAAGTTCTTGTTTTGATGCATCTGGGTCTAATCTCTATTATGTCTTTGAACTTTTCCCTCAAATTGAAAGAAGAAAAATGAAAGAAAAGGTGTAACAACGAACTAGAAAGCTATTCAACTATTAGATTTGATTTTCTTCTAAATCCTCCTATGTGCATGTGGACCTTTTATTTTTCTCTGGCGAAGTTGAAACTGTACGTACTCTTTTTTCTTTGCTCTTCAAATACCTCTTCCATTTTACAATGCCAGCCAAACCAAACAGGGGAAATCAAATTTTCATTTTCAATCCTTTTCCCGGCTTCCAAACAGGATGTGAATGAAACCTCCGTACTTCTTCAGTTTGTTATATAACTACATGTTTCTCCCATATTATATTCTTCTGATGCCATAAATTTCTATGCAGCTTGTTCTTCTGGTGGGAACAAAGTTGCAACATGTTATTGCAACCTTGTCTTTGGAGAGTGCTGCAATAAATGGATCTTTCAATGGCACGAAGTTAAATCCTCGAGATGATCTTTTTTGGTTTAAAAAGCCAGAACTTTTGTTGTCCTTGATCCATTTTATTCTTTTCCAGGTTGGCTCAGTTTTTCATAATGCAGTTTGGCAAAGTTGCAATTATTATTTCCTTATTTTCGTACTCATGCATTTTCAAAACTAACTGATATGAATCTTTCCATGTTTGACTCTTTCTGCAGAATGCATTTGAGCTGGCTTCATTTTTCTGGTTCTGGGTAATTCCTTTTCCATGACTTTATTGGTTCTTGTAGGAATGCTGGACTAGTAAAAAAAATTTTGGTACTTGATCTTAACCAACTCAAATTTGACTTTGAGATTATTTCCTTTCCTTTTCTTTAATTGGGTTAGTATGAAGTTGATATCTTGAAACTGATTCTATCTTGCACCGCTCCAAAAAATTAAAAAAAAAAAATTTGTGCCAACTCTGGCTAGGCTGATGGAAAATCAGTTCAAAGCAATTAATAATGGAATGAAATTAGAAAAAACAGAAATTAGTGCATGTGCGTGTTAGAGAGAGAGAGTTTATATGATTGGATGAGGTTCCATGTGTTTAACCAAAGTATATTGTTTAATTTACAGTGGCAATTCGGGTATAATTCATGCTTCATTAGGAGACATTTGCTTGTGTATCTACGGCTGATTTTGGGGTAATTGTAGCATATATCCATTTCACCTGTAAAATGAAAATTAAATTCATCTTATTAGTTATAGGCCTTAAATTTATTTTTTTGTCTCGTAGATTTTCTGGACAGTTCTTATGCAGCTACAGCACCTTGCCAGTATATGCTCTGGTCACTCAGGTACAATTATTCAGAATCTTTTTTGGGACAAGTTTTATATAGTATTGCACACATTGGCAACATGTGGTTAGTGGTCTTCATAACTAGATTAGGATTGCAAACGAGCTGAGCCAAGCTCTGGAAGGCTCAAGTTCAGCTCATTTGTCTATTGAGCTCGAAAGGCGACTATATGCTCCGATCACTCAGTTACAGTTTTTCAAACTCTTTTTTGGACAAGTTTTACAGTCTTGCACACATTGTTAATATGTGGTTAGGGGTCTTCATGTTTCATATGAGGTTCCATGTGTTTAACCAAAGTATATTGTTTAATTTACAGTGGCAATTCGGGTATAATTCATGCTTCATTAGGAGACATTTGCTTGTGTATCTACGGCTGATTTTGGGGTAATTGTAGCATATATCCATTTCACCTGTAAAATGAAAATTAAATTCATCTTATTAGTTATAGGCCTTAAATTTATTTTTTTGTCTCGTAGATTTTCTGGACAGTTCTTATGCAGCTACAGCACCTTGCCAGTATATGCTCTGGTTACTCAGGTACAGTTTTTTAGAATCTTTTTTGGGACAAGTTTTATATAGTATTGCACACATTGGCAACATGTGGTTAGTGGTCTTCATAACTAGATTAGGGTTGCAAACGAGCTGAGCCAAGCTTTGGAAGGCTCAAGTTCAGCTCATTTGTCTATTGAGCTCGAAAGGCGACTATATGCTCTGATCACTCAGTTACAGTTTTTCAAACTCTTTTTTGGACAAGTTTTACAATCTTGCACACATTGTTAATATGTGGTTAGGGGTCTTCATGCTTCATTTAGGGCTGCAAATGAACTGAACCGAGCTTTGCAAGGCTCGAGCTCATCTCATTTGTCTATTGAGCTCAAAAATTCAGCTGAAGCTTTGGTTAGCTCATTAACACTAATCAAGCTCAAGGTCAACTCAAAGCTCGATAACAGAATTTTTTTGGACTATTATTTACATTATTTAAATATATAAATAATATATTCATCCTATTATTTAAATAAATAATAAAGGAGTCTAATAGTTTGACTCAAATTTGTTTATCTACTTAATCAACCAATCTGAGCATTTGCAGTCCTAGACTAATGTAAATAGCGACCTATCATTTGCAGATGGGAACAAACTACAAGGCAGCCCTAATTCCACACAGAATAAGAGAAACGATCCACGGATGGGGGAAGGAAGCTAGGAGGAGAAGGCGGCATGGCATTTTCACCGATGATTCAACTATACACACAGAAACGAGCATGGTGTTGTCAGTTGAGGAAGATGATCAACGGCTGCTTGATAGCCCTCGAGCTGGAGCCCACGGTGCTGCCACAGAGATGGAATTGCAACCTCATACCATTATCATTCCAAGTAGTCCTTCCCCATTTGCTAACGAAACTTCAAGTCGTGCTGGTACGCCTCTCCTTCGGCCTTCTGCTTCCGTTTCTTCCACGGTTTCATCCAAAAATCTACATCTGGAAGCATTCACGAGGTCCACTTCAGAGCCTAATAGAAGAGAGTGAAGAAAATACTACAGCGATGACGATGACAAGGATAGAAGAAAAAAGATGAGATTGAAGTTGGCCGTTAATACTCATATGGTGGTTGTTAGTTGTAGCATGATCAATAGAACAAAGAAATTGATATACGAGCCGATAATAGAATCAAATTATAGAAAATATACTTGGATTTATGCGAATAGAGTAATTTCTGTAGTGATGGGTCCCACGATCTATATGTATATCAAGGTTTTTTTTTATGATCTTGAAATGTTTGAACTTATGATACTATACGATCTTTCCTCAACTGCTTTTCTTGTTTGTTTTCTTAGATTATGTTTGGATCATAGATTGGTGGAAGAAAAGGAAAAGAAATGTAAAAATATAGGAAGAAAATGAAATGAAAGATAATGAATGACAGAGAGAGAGAGAGAGAGAGAGGAAAGTCATATATCCCTTCATTTTTCTTCAAATACAAGCTTGAAAGCAAACATAAAACACTAACGAGAGTGATCTCATCTCTGAATTTCAACTCCACTTTGGAGATTTTCAATAATAAAAAAGAAAAAGTAGGACTTATTGTTCATTTGCTTTGAAGTTTTTATTCAACACCTGCCCTTTTTTTTTAATAGGACAATTCTAAATTCTAAATTTATGGTCTTCCCTTGTTAACTGCTACTGGAGCTGATCAGCCTAGTAATGCAGGTTCACTATCAGTGGACCCAGACCACCCATGACCACCATGGCCTTTGGCAGGCTTAGAACCGATGGGCCCCCAATATCCCCACCCAGGTCCGGGATCGGGATTGGGATCCAGCTAATAAACACAGGGGGGGAACCGACACCCCAGTTTCCACTGAAGTTTCCATCATTTCCTAGCCCAAAACCAGGCCCATAATTGTACTGCGGGCATCCAAATCCAGGACATCCGCAGCCAATTTGTGGGCCGTAGCCAGCCACACATCCCGGGGACCCATAACCAAGCATATGCCACCTCCACCACCACCACCACCACCACTGCCACCTCCGCCTCCACTTCAACCACTGGCCAAGTTAGATATAGGTTTTGTATTAGAGGGAGATTGTTTTGGGTGGTAATTGTCCAAGGAGTCTAAGAGGACCCTATGGAAGAGCCAAGCCTTGCATATTAGGACCAAGAAGGCCATGCAGACATATTTTGGTGAAGTCATATTTTCACTTAGTTCTTTGCATGATCTAAAATCATTAAGGGCCTTAGAGCTATATATAGTTATAAATCAAGAGTAGTGTTGTCAAACGAACCAACCTGCTTGAGTTCGATTTGTATTCTACTTCTTAAAATTTTTTTATGTGAGCAAAATTCATTTGAAATTAACCTGAAAAGTAAACAAGTCAACTTTAAACAAAATTTAGAACTCGTTAGGTTTTCATGTCAAACTAAAACAATTCATTACTCTACTCAACTTGTTTAAAGCCCTAATCATAAGGACTGAAAGAATTATCAATCCTCATGGCTACTAAGGCCTCTCGTATTGATCCCTATTCCTATATCACAATACAAATCTTTAAATTTCATTGCTTTCAACCATAAAATAACACACTGCTGACATAGAAGACTTCAACATTTTAATGTTCCTCACAAAAATTATATACAAGGGGGCAATAAAAAATTCAAAAAAAGTGGCAAGACTTCAAAACAAGCAAACTAGTTCTGATCAAGAAATTGAAGACTAGCGCAGACCAAAGCAATAAATCATCATACAATCAGGATTCTCAAGTTCGATTAAGCGAATATAAGAAAGGGAAAACCCAAAAACAAGCATTGGGACGTTATTGTGTTAGTCTATGCATCTCATTTTGCTCATTGAGAGTCTCAATGAGAAGGGGAGGGGCATATTGAGCCGTCCCATGGTGCTCGTCAGAGTCTTGGCAAAATGAGAGGATGATGGTATCGATGGACATCTCAACAACAGCAAAGAAAAGGGTAGCCACAACATAACCCAAACCCCAACATACCTGCATTAGAAACAAAGTAATTCAAACATGAGTCGCAACTCCCATGGAAGAAATGGTAGAAAAGTTCACTTACAATTGGCATTATTATTCAAGGAGTCTAAATGTAACCTAAACTAAAGTTTAAAAATAAAACCCACATATAGTAAGTGGAAATTACTCCCACTTTTTTGTGGAGAGACTGATTATTGTGACTCGAACTAGCGTCGCCTTTGAAATTTACATGCCATTCTTTTCAACTACAATGTACAGGCATATGAAGCATAGGTATTTCGATAAACATGTTGTACCCGTACCGGGTATATACCGGTGTATGGTACTTCTGCATATGTATTGGGTACACGAAATATGTATTCAAATTTTTTCTTCTAAATTTTTGACATATCCAAACGTATTTAGTATATATCCAAGTCGTGCCGTGCCGTACCATACCGTACCTCAATCAAAATAATATTTTCTTCTACTACAGAGATAAAATTATTTTTACTAGATTTCTTTTTTATTTTTAGTTTTATGCTTCATATGATTTGTTGATTTTAAAATTAAGTCATGATTTGTAATTTATTTAATATAATGACATTTAGTTTTGATTTATACCTTTACTTTTGGCATTAAATGTTAATTGTAGGTTGGATCTTAACAAATTAAACCATTTAATCAATTTTTGCATGACTAAATATTTTTTTACAAACGTATCGAGCCCGAGCCCAAGCCGTACCCGTACCCATATCCTACTTTTTTTGAATTTTACCGTATCGACATACCCATATCAGACCAGTACCAGTACTTGTACCTGTGCTTCATACCAAAGCATCACATCACATCAAATAGGTGTCGCGTGGTTGCTTCTTGCTCCTCTCTACAAGGCTTATTTTTTAACTATGTCCCTACATTATTTTTTGCTTACAAAATCTAACCTAATTGCTTTCAATTGCTTTTAAGCAACTATTCATCAATCAATTTCTGTTATGCACTCGTGCTTTAATTGTATTACTTCATTGATTATGCTCGTAACTAAATACTAAGAAACATACCAGCACAGGAAATAAGGGGGAGGAGATCTTGTGAGCAGAGTTGTATTTGTGAGTGTTCAACATGAGGAAAGCAAAAACTGCACTTGAAAGGCTGACACATAACTTCCCAAGAAAGAGAATAACATCTCCAATCACATTCACTTTCCCTATCCGAAGGATGTTGCTGATGATCAATTCTGTTGCAATCTCAGAAGCCTTAAAAAAGCTTTTGCCCGTTATAGCAATCTGAAAGAGTCAGAAGCATGTAAGCAAGTAAGAATGAAGCAGAAATACAAAATAACCAAGAAGCACCAAGCCACAAATTATCCAAAATATATGCATAATGCACATATAATTTAAGTACATATATTGGTATTAAGGTCTTATCCATAGTAAAATGGGTTATGAAGAATGAATAATCATTGCCTAGCATAAACCCAAAGAAAATCAAACCAAACTAAGCCTTGTGTCCTAATCAAGTGGGTCGGCTACATGAATCTTTTTTCAACATTATGTTCTGTCAAGGGCTATATGTCCAGTTAAATTAAATAAATTCATCTAACCTTTTACTACTTCGTTCTATGTCAATTTAGATATTTTCTTCGCCCTTACATTTCCATTTATGGTGATCATATCACTCTTCCTTATCATTGCATTTATAGGTCTTTCTCGTACATGACTAAACCATCTTAGTCTATTCTCTCTTAATTTATCTTCATTTCTAATTCTATCTTTCCTAATTTTACCATACATCCATCTAAGCATTTTCATCTCAGCTACACTCATTTTATTTTATGACCACATACTCTTGCTAGGAAACAAAAAGCCTAAAGAAGCACATATCAAGAACAGAACTCAAATAAATACATACGCTTGCTGGAAAGCAGTTTCACTAAATTACCATAATATAGGCATTGCGGTTCACAGATTTGATGGTCCACTCAATACACCGTCGGCAAAATTGAGAAGAACGAAATGTCACCCTTCCAATCCAGCTATCAGGTATTGTGCTAGAAACCTTCAATTTGCGACGAATTGCCTCAAGTATAAATCGGATGGACTCAACAAATGATACAATGAGAGAGCCAAGAGCTACAGACCCAAGGCTGTAACGCATAAGCCGCTTCATTGAGGAGAAAACTGGAAGAAATGGAATCTCTGGCTGCATATACAAAAGTTACTGAGCACCAGATTAAAGAGATGTACCGGGAATTAATATTGAAGTATTCAACTGAACCAAGAAAATATGTCCTCAAGGACCTTATTTAGCAGAAGACAACAGTTAACTAGCAAAAGAGGCCCAAAACTTCTAGTATATAATATAAATCTGTCCACAAGGCAATCAAGGACAATGTACTGAAGCCTGGGCCAGAATGGAAGATGAAAGGAAAATTAAAACAAATAAATAAGCCAACTATTTAATCTAAATCATTTTCTTTAATTGTGGGTATATCACTTGATATAAATCCAATCTGGGGACATCTTCCATGACACTGCCTGGCAGCAAGAACGTGGAACAATAAAAGAGAGAGAGGTGGCAATATGCAGACAGAGACACAATCTAAAACTGAAGAATCTTATGCTTCCCATATTATGTCAGTCTTATGATTCAAATATAGCTATTATGTCAGTGGAAGCAATCTTTACACAAATAAAATAAAATAAAATATAAAACTGTTGCTTTGCACGATCAATGAACAAGACTAACTCATGTTCGGACAAAAAAACACTGTATCAGGTGTAATGCATACGGGTCTCAAAATCTGACATTGGGTATCAGGTGATAGTGAACATATCAAAACACATGATCCAAGGACATATTTTGTTAAGAGTCTTTATGTATGTCAATTAAGGTTTTAAAAAGCGGCCGCAACCGTTACGTAACGGTTTTGGCGGTTACCGCTACCCGTTATGGCCGCTTTTGCAGTGTGATTGAGATTCACAGGTGTGTCGGCCGTAACAACTGCCATAGTGGTCGTAATGGTGCCGTAACAGTCGTAACGACCTGTTACACACAGTTACGTAACAATTCCAAACTGTTTCTTTCGAAAAAACACACAAAAAAAAGCTGAAAATGGGGGAAGAGGGATAGAGAGAAGAGGGAAGATAAAGAGAGAAAATGGAGGAGCAAAAGATAGACAGAGAGAAAAGGCAAGATGAAGAACATGTTATTGATTTGTTGAAACTGTAAGACCTATGCTATTCTATTCAACTGCTATCACTAAACCATTTTGTTTGTGTGTGTCTATCTCTATATTGTTTGAAAATAATAATAATAATAATAAGTGTGATCATTATCTATTTAGCTTGGTTAAAATATGTATATATATATATATTTAGGCTCTTATTTGTCCTTTTATATTTGTCATTATTTATCTTATATATAATAGTTAGTGATTGATTTTTTGTATAATATAAAGTCATTAATTATTAAAATAAAATATAAAAAACTCAGTTTATAGTGATTTAAAAATATGAAATGTATTGGATCATACTTAAAAATTTACAAAAATTGATCAATATTTATTTTTAAGCCAATAAATATGATCATGGAAAAAAAATATGCGTATCGGTAAGTTTTTTTCAAATTGTGTAAAAAATAAAAAAATTTACGGTTCCGGTTACCACAACCGTTACACTACGGCCTTTACACCCCGCAACCGCAACCGCGTCACTGCCACCGTTACAGCGACCGCAACTGCTTTTCAGAACCTTGATGTCGATGTATAACAAATTTAGCTCATGCATAAGGGTAAGAGCAATATTACATATTTCTAAATAATTGTATTTTATATAAAAATACTAAAGCATGAAAGCATATTTACTTGGGGCAAATTAAGCAACCCAAAAGAACAAACAAAAAATAAAAAGTATCGGTAAGTAATTCTACAATTAGTGAGAGGTATCATATAGAATAGAATAGATGTATACAGTCTATTCTTTATGCACATGACTGAGTAGCTTACTGATGTGTCACCATGAGCCCAATAGTAGGAAGCAACAGAACCCGCAATCACTGTTGAAGAGCATGCTATAAAAAACTGTGTAGCCCAATAACAGCCAAACAGGTGGAAAAGAATTGCAGCACCAATATGAGAAGTACGACGAATGCTATAACCGCAGCAATGGTCACAGCTCACCCGTTTCAACCCAAGCTCATAGGTGCAGCAATTGGAGTCGCAGTTATTCTCAACGATCTGACCAGAACTGAAAAGATGGAGAGCAGCAGAAACCCAGAACATGTAAAAAATTGCGAGGATAAAGTAAGGTATGACCGGAAAAAAAATAAGCAAGTGAACTTCTCCAATGACCTTGGCAGCAACCTGTGTACAGATTTAGTGGCAATTGCATTACAATAAGGTAAAATCATCTATAGACCACGTCTCATGGAGCCAATCAAATGACTGGTGTGAAGAAAGTAAAACAAAGAAAAAGTATTTGTTGGATCACCCATTGTGCCAAAATTTTAAGCTGTTAGGAAATGAGCCCAACAATGTATATCAAGCTATCCAACTCCCTCCCTCACTTATAACCCCGCCTTGCACGTGGAGATGCAAAACACATAAAGAAAAGAAAGAATGCAAACAGGGGCCGAATTCAAATGGAGAGACTTGAACCCAAGACTTCCCCTAACCTAAACTCTAATACCATTCAAATGTGAAGAATGTAAAACAAAGAAAAAGTATCTGTTAAATCACCAATTGTCCCAAAAAAGCTTATGTTGTTAGGAAATGAGCTCAACAATATATATCAAGCTATCCAACAATATCAAGTCCAAATGGGGTGCTACATACCTTGTCATGGATTTTCACTTGAATGCTTTAAGTAGAAGGTTACTTTGTTACCGTTATGCTTGTTGAATATAGAAATTAGAGTACATAGAATCTTTTTATTTTTAGTATTATGTATATAATCTGTGATTGTGTCAATCACTGATTTAGTATGGTTTTCTTATTTATATCGTTTCCTAAATTGTATCATGAATTTATTATATATACATGACCTTTATCTCATTCATGGGTAAGCCAAATAATTCTTTTCATTCTTTTTGGTATTAAAGCTAGGTTAACTACCTAGTAATTTTGCTTCACCGGCGGGTGGTGGCCTTGCCTTGGCCGTCTATTGGACCTCAACCCACTCCATTGCCATATTTTCTTTTAGTATCACTTCGTGGTGATCTCTTCCTTTATCCACTAGTTTATTCATATCCTAAATTTTTGGTATTAAAGCTAGGTTAACTACCTAGTAATTTTGCTTCACCGGCGGGTGGTGGCCTTGCCTTGGCCGTCCATTGGACCTCAACCCACTCCATTGCCATATTTTCTTTTAGTGTCACTTCGTGGTGATCTCTTCCTTTATCCACTAGTTTATTCGTATCCTAAATATCTCTATCATATTTTTTTGAACTCGCAATCTATTTTTTTTTTTTGTGTTTCTGTTACAATTTGTCTCTCTCTATTTCAACCTCAAATAGGTTTCTATCTGCAAACCTATTTGCGTTTGAGAGGGGTATTATACCTATATCATGATGAGTATGGTGATATACCATGTGAACCACCTAAGCCCCCTATTTGGCGCATAACCCTAGTCACCCCCTTGGCACACTACCTAAGCTACCTCCCCTGGCACACTTTCTAATAAGCCGCCCCTTGGCACATTCAGTCATCTGTTGCCATCATCATTTAGCACCACATCATAAGTTATGTGTGTGCCACACTTATTGGTTCAACATCCAGTTCTCTACATCGGTCCAGCATGACCCCTTTAAATTGTTTCGACATTGATTCCGATTAGTCTCTATAACAATCTGACACGACCCCTTAAATTGTCCCAACATTAATTTCGGTTAGTTCCTATATCAGTTCGGCATGACCCCTTTAAACCGTCCCGACATTGATTCCTGTCAATTTCTTCTAGGGCAATTCAGTCCCTATTTTTTTTCCCTTTCTAGGATGTGGTGCTAATATATTAAGCACTTTTTGGCCTTTTTTATTTAGTAGACTACCAGATTTGTTCGGTAGCATTTATTTGGACTAGCCTTAGAGTTTTTTTCCGACTTCTTCCAGTCATCCATTGGCAAGCTGCGATTGTTGAATATCTTCACATCAGTTTGAGAGGGAGTGTTGAATATAGAAATTATAGTATATAAAATCTTTTTATTTTTAATATTACGCATATAATTTGTGATAGTGTCAATCACTGATTTAGTATAATTTCCTTATTTATATTGTTTCCCAAATTGTATCATGAATCTATTATATAGACATGGCATTTACCTTATTTATGGATAAGCCAAATAATTCTTTTTATTCTTTTATGCTCAACAATCAGCTAATGGCCAAAACATATCTATGGTATATGTAGGTAAAAGGGTAACTATGATTAGGTGGATATCTCTGATGCCGATGAGCTGAATTCTGTTAATAGTGTAAATTTTAGAGAATATCAGATTAGGGAATGATTAGGATATCATTCCCTATTTATATTAATGAAGATTAATAATTACAAGGGAGCCCTAAGGCATAAAATAATTACAAAATAATAACCCAAATAATCATATATTATTCTAACACTCCTCCTCAAGCTGGTGCGAAGATATCTCTCATACCCAGCTTGCCTAAGATGTCATGAAATGGCTTACTCCCAACTCCCTTGGTGAGGATGTCAGCAAGTTGTTCACTAGACTGCACAAAGGGAGTACATACTGTGCTACTAGTGAGTTTCTCCTTAATGAAGTGGCGATCAATCTCAACTTGTTTTGTCCTGTCATGTTGAACCGGATTGTGAGCGATGTTGATAGCGGCCTTATTATCACAGTACAACCGCATGGAGTCCGTCTCATCAATACCTAGATCACTCAACAATAACCTGATCCATAAGAGCTGACACACTCCTTGTGTCATAGCTCTAAACTCAGCTCCTGCACTCGACCTGGCAACCACATTCTGTTTCTTACTCTTTTAAGTAACTAGGTTGCCTCCAATAAAGGTGCAATATCTTGAAGTCGATCTCCTATCAATCACTGATCCAGCCCAGTTAGCATCTGTATAGGTTTCTACACGAAGATGATCATACCTTGAAAAATAAAGACCCTTACCAGGAGCAGACTTCAAGTACCTCAAAATTCGCATGACAGCCTTGAAGTGAATCTGATGAGGAGCATGCATAAACTGGCTAACCACACTTATAGCAACAACAATATCAGGATGAGAGTGAGATAGGTAAATGAGTTTACCCACTAATCGCTGATAGCTCCCCCTGTCAACAATTGCTCCTCCTTCATCATCCCCCAGTTTCTGATTGGGTTCTAGTAGAGTATCACAGGCCTTGCAGCCAAGCATCCCAGTTTTTTTCAACAAATCAAGCACATACTTCCTCTGTGAGATAAATATCTCATCCTTGGAGCGAGCAACTTCAATTCCCAGAGAATACTTCAAGCTCCCCAAGTCTTTGATCTCAAACTCAAGGGCTAAATACTTCTTCAACAGAGAAATTTCCTCACTATCATCACTCGTAAGAACTATGTCATCTACATAAACAATGAGTGCTGTAATCTTACCAAGTGAGGAATGTTTCACAAACAATGTGTGATCTGTCTGACTCTGTTTGAAGCCATATTTAAGCATAGCCTAAGTGAATCTCTCAAACCAAGCTCTCGGACACTGCTTGAGACCATATAATGACTTCCGAAGCCTACATACTTTGCCTTTTGTCTGATGATCCTCAAAACCAGGAGGAATGTCCATATATACCTCTTCTTCGAGGTCACCATGGAGAAAGACATTCTTTATATCAAACTGATGAAGTGGCCAATCTAGATTATGTGAAAATTGAAATATTATTGATTGATTTTGATATCTGATTGTTGTACTTTTGATATTACAAGGCTTCCTATTATATAGGAGAGGATTTGGGAGTAGGTGAGTGTGTGTGGTAGGTGTAGGAAAATAGGTGAAGTAGGTGAGTGTGTGTGGTAGTGGAGGTGGTAGGTGGAGTGGGTTATGGTAAATTCTAACAGATTAGCTGCTAAAGAGAGAAGCACTTTGACTGAATTCATCTTAGCCACGGATGCAAAGATCTCCTGATAGTCAATGCCATACGTCTGAGTGAACCATTTTTGCCACAACTCTAGCCTTGTAATGCTCAATAGAACCATCCGCTTTGTGTTTCACAGTATACACCTATTTGCATCCCACAGGTCGTTTACTCTTAGGTAACTCAGTCAATTCTCAAGTACCATTTTTTTTAAGTGCTTTCATTTCCTCAATCATGGCAAGCTTCCACTCAGAGGTAGCAAGAGCATCCTGAAAATAGTTGGAAATGTTAACAGAGGAAATATTGGACACAAACGTTTTTTATGAGGATGACAAATGAGAGTAGGACACAAAATTTGAGATAGAATGTTGAGTACAAGACCTCACACCCTTTCTCTTGGCAATCGGAACATCAAGATCAATGGACTCAAGAGATTCAAAGTTACCTGGACTCTCATCAGAAGTAGGAGATGACAGTGGAGGAGCAGAAGTGGTCTCTTGTATCCAGTTAATTTTATGTCTGTCTTTGTCCCTGACATAAACTTGCCCTTCCCTATCCTTGGTGACATTGGGTTCTGCAATCCCAGTATGAGATGGTAGTGCAAGAACAACTAGTTCCACCATAGGAATAACAGGAATCACTTCACACCAAGGCTCCCCCTGAAGGGAGGACTGTAACACCGAAGAGGACAAGAAATAGGACTGGGACTCAAAGAATGTGACATCCATGGACACAAACCACTTACGAGAAGGAGGGTGATAACACTTATACCTTTTTTGAGTAGAAGAGTACCCAAGAAAAACACATTTGAGGGAGCGAGGGTCCAACTTACCACGAGTAGGAGAGTGACTATGTATGGACAAAACAGACACAACCAAATATTTTAGGAGGAATAGAAAACAAGGACTGGAAACCTAGGAGGACTTGAAGAGGAGCTTGTTTTTGCAAAACCTAAGTAGGAAGACGATTAATAAGATGGGCAGTGGTGAGAACAGTGTTGCCCCAGTAGGACCGAGGCACACTCATAGAAAAACACATGCACCGAGACATGTCAAGATGATGGTGATTCTGCGTTCCGCCACCCCATTTTGTTGAGGGGTATTGGTTCAAGAGATTTGATAGATAATGCCATGAGTAGAAAAATATTGCCCTAACCCAGAATTTATATACTTACTCCCATTATCAAAACGAAATATTTTGACAGTGGCCCTAAACTGAGTACAAATCATCTTATGAAAATTACGGAACACAGAGAAAAACTCACTCGTCTTTCATGAGATACACCCAA